ATGGCCCCCCCCTGGCCTTCACTGCTTCCTGCCTCAGAGCGTAGCTTGAGCAGCAATTCCCCAGGTGGGTGGGAGGGCGGAAGATCGGACAAAAAGACTGGCAGGGAGAAGGTGCTTACAGAGACGTCTGGGTGGAACAGAGACTGCGATTTGATGGAAAGAAATGGGAGCCTGGCCCTGAGCCAGCCCCTCCTGTCCCCGCCTCGGCCTCTTCCTGTGTCGCCCCCCTTCCCACAGCTTTTCCTGAACCCTATGAACATGGAGGGAGCTGTGTCACTTATCATGTCCATCAAGAAGAACCCCAGATCCAAGATGGAAAACCTTGACATTTCTGTGAGTAATCAGATGGCAGTCGCTTGCACCCGGGTCAGCAGGTGCCAATAGCCATAGCCCTCAGAGGCCTTCACACAAAAGCTCCCTGCAAAGGTCCCTCCTTTTGGGGGGCAACTCTGCCCCCTCCAGCGGTCCTTTCAATAGAGCAGCTGTCAGTCAGTGGCCAAGAGTGAGAAATCATCTACCCGGCCCTGGACCAGGGCCCTGCACACCTGAGAGCAGGCCGAGCTCAGGTGCAGAAACGGCGGGAAAGGGCAGGAGGACCCAGGGCAGAGCGTCTGTCAGCCGTCCTGATGGATGGCCCCGCGTCCCTGAAAGGCTCCAGAATCACAGGGCTTTTAACATCTGAGTCATAGAACGTGGACAGACTTGCCTTTTCATTTCATAACGAGGCCTACTCTACTCAGAGCAGTGTTTGAGGCTAACGTTAAGAAATCCCTTGATGGACAGGGGAAGCCTGAGGAAGTGGCTTCACTCTGCCAGGTTCTCCCGCCTGAATCATCCTAGAGGTGGTAGCTGAGAATAACCGTATCCTGCACTCGTCTGTCACTCTATACTCTTTTCCCCCCAAAGTGATGTTATACCTGCCAGCTCATTGGATCCTTCTCCGGGAGGCGGGTCCCAGAGCTGCTTAGCAAAGATCTGCGAGCTGGGTGGTTAAACAATAGAAATCTATTCTCTCACAATTCCTTCACTGTAGATGCTTCTAGACCTTTCTCTAGAATACCTACAAAAAGAGTAAGTCTTCAGCCCTTAAGCATGGATTTAAGCCTTTGAAAGGCAGGAGATACTCAGAACCAAACCTGAGGAATGAAGCAGGTTAATCTCCCCCAGGGAGGCCAGTTTTGCTCCAACGCTATTTCATGGAACACACCTCCTCCTGTGGCCTGTAACCCCCAGGTCTCGGGGACTTCCTTCAGGGAGTTCTCAGTGTGGGCTGAGCTGGGCCCAGGGGGTGGGCATGAGGGGTCCTCTTCCAGGTCATCTGCTTTGAAGACCAACACTGGCACAGGGATGGGCCCGTCTGCAGCCCCATCGCTGCATCGCATGGCCGCATGCAGACGGTTAGGCTTGCCGTCTGAGGGCGCTGAGATGGCCCGGCGTGGTGAGCCCCCAGCACAGACAGAACATCCGATCCATCACGCGGGAATCGCACGAGTTAAACCACGAGCTCTAAACAACGTGAACCACCCCCTCGAGGAGCTGCATGGCGGGACAAACTGGAGACGTGGCCGGCCCTCTGGCTGGCTTGGGTGGGACACTGGTCTGGGCAGGAGGATGGGGCAGTGGCGGCCCCCTCCCCACGATGGGTCCCCTCTCTCCCTGCCCCAGAATGTGATGGTGTCCGAGCAATTTGTGAAATTCTTAGATGGGGTGTATGCCATCCACCCCCAGCTGGACGTGGTCTACAAGGCAATCCAAGGCCTCTCTGCCAAGAAATCCATCATCCAGTATCCGAACGCCATGAAACTGATCCAGGTGAGCCCCTGCTTTCCTCTCAGCCCCACAGGGACCCCTGCAGAGAGCTGTCCTCTGGCCCCAGTCAGCTACGCAGTCTCCCCTCCCCCAAGGCGTCTGCACAATCCTCTCTGACAGGGACCCTCAGAGGAGGAATATTCCCCGTGGATTTCCGGAGCCTCCACAGGAGGGGACAGCTGAGAACTGGCTCAAGTGGGAGGGGCTTGGAACAGGGTGTTTCTACCAGCCAGGCTCCTCCCCTGGCTGTTGTAGGGCCAAAGGCAGGTCACTGAAGCTTTCTGTGCCTCAGTCTCTTCACCTGTAAAATGGGCACAACGAAAGCACACACCCTCGCAGGGCTGCTGTGAAGATTAAATTCTAGAATGTGCGTGAAGTGTTTAGAACGACGCCTGGCACATAATAAGCACCCAGTAAATGTGGGCTCTTTCCAACAGCTGGTAAGAAAGCCAAGACCCCTGTGGTCAGGACAGCCATGTGGTGGCTTCAGCGAAAGAGGGACCCTCAAGGCCTTTTCATCTAGTGGTAACCTGGCTTGAGCCTTAGATCGCCTCTGGCAATCACAAGAGGCAGATGTAACAGTGAAAATAAAAAATCAGAGCCCGATAGAGCTACTAGGGGTATTAGACTGTTAGAGCCATTGGGGGTATTAGCCTGTTAGAGCCATTGGGGGTATTAGACTGTTAGAGCCATTGGGGGTATTAGCCTGTTAGAGCCATTGGGGGTATTAGACTGTTAGAGCCATTGGGGGAATTAGAGCTCCTCAGGTCGGGCCCCCTCAGAGCAGCATCCAGCCCCAGGCCTGGTTGTCCACCGCTGGCTGTCACCCCAAAGTTCTAAAAGGCAAAGGGGTATCAAGTATCTTTCTAGGTCAGAGGACCTCGGGTGGCACCAAGGGGAAACCTGTTTTGCAAACCTGTTTTGCAAGGGAAGCAGGATGTCCAGTGAGTAGGAATGGCGTTATCTGATGCAAAGTGGGGGCCTGCCCCTTGTTTCCAACAGCACAGAGAAGGAATCTAGTCAAGACCAAGCCCTACACGCAGCGTGAAATGCAGTCCTTTCCCTCAGGGGCCAACAAGCGGGTCTGGAAAATGGGACAGATACAGTAACTGCTAATAGAAAGGGTCAGATGGTAGACTAGAGGCCTGATGCATGAAATTTGTGCAAGAGTAGGCCTTCCTTCTCCCGGCTGCCAGCACCGGCTTCCCTCTGGCACCTGGGACCCCGGCTTCATCTGGAAGGTCGTCTGGAAGGACGTCTGGAAAGATGTCTGGTCTAATTAGCTTATTATGCTTTTATTATTATAGATAATAAGTGGCAAAGCAACAAAGATAATCAGAGCCCGGATTAGAGGGTATGTAGGGTTGGCAAACAGAAAAGGATGCTTCCTGGCAGAGATAGGGTTGGGAAGGGCCTTGATGATCAAGGATTCAGGTGAGCAAAGATACTAAACAAGGACCCCAAAAGAATATTTTAATGGTATTGAAAGGGTGTTCACAGTGTATTGGCACAGACCATTTCATAAATCAGTATGTACAGTAGAAAAACGATGGGTGGCCGGGTGGATGGTAGATAGATAGATAGATAGATAGATAGACGGACAGACAGGTGAAAGGATACACATCAAGATGTTACCTCTGGATAGTGGGATTGGATTTATTTCTTCTTTCTACTAATCTAAAATCACCTTACAATGTGAGTAGCTAATATTTTTTTAAATTAAACATTATTTTTAAAATACTCTAACACAGTGTAAGCATCTGTGTGAAATGATGAGAATTAAGTGAATTCTGAGAACCAGACCTGCCCGTCACACAGCGTGGCTGTGGTTGGCTTCTGGGCTCTAAGCCAACACCAGCTCACCCACCGCCCACAGTGCACCATCTACACGAGTCTTAGCAGAGGCAACTTCGGAACTAAATAATGCACATGAACACAGTCACTGCCCCATTCCTTCGGTGCCCTGTGCAGACAGGACTCTTGGTCTTAAATGACGCACATGTGGGAGACTCCAGCTCCTGGGACGGCCTCGTCACATGCCCCCGTGGCCTGCTGGGTCTGGGCGGGGAGGGGGAGTTGTTAGAGATGTTACATGGGCAAGCATCCGCTCCTGGTGTCTCCCTCCCTCAGAGCTATGCCGACCAGAACAAGATCAAGGTCCTGGACTTCTTCAAGAGCTTGACCCCTACTGGGATGATGAAGATGCCTGTGAGCGAGTTCTTGAAAGCCATGATTCAGGTGCGCTTATCCCTGTGCCCCTGGGCACTGTGTGTGTGTGCCTGCATGTGTGTGCATGTGCATGTGTGTGCACATGCATCTATGTAGGGGGCTGGAGAGCAGGTAAGCTGAGAGCTCCATTAACCTCACATGTTCCACCCACCTCCTCAGCAAAACAAGATCCCCCTAAACCGGTTCCAAATCAGGGAGCTGATCAAGCGGCTGGATGACAAGAATGGCAACGTGAACTTCAGGTCAGCACAGGCCCGCGGCGGGCCCCATCCAGCCTCTGTCCCAGGGGCCCTCGGCTCTCTAGAACAGCCATCTCCAGCCGGTGGGCCGCAGACCATTGGTGGTCCGTGAGATCCGAAAGGTTGGCGACCGCTGCTCTAGAAGGCACCCCTAAACTCCAGGGGCCACCCCGTCGGCATGGCATTAGGTCTGGTCTCCCCTGCGTAGCAGGCTGCCTTTGCTCCCTCCCACAGCTGCCCCCCGGGTACCCTCCTTCTCATCTTCCGCTGGCTCCCTTGGCCAAGCTTCGGGCTCAACTGCACAAGGGCAGGCTGTGAGCCTGATTCTGGGGATACAGCGCTCACAGCAGGTAGGAGGTGACACAAGAGAGCAGTGATGAGGCCCTGGCATGGTGAGGGGTTGTCACACGGACATAGAGGAGAGGGCAGAGGGACTTCAGGTCCACGCCCTGGCGTGAGAGCCGGGCAGGGGAACTGCGGGCCATCCCGTGCTGCTGTGGCTTAGGGAGTGACGCAGGTTGTGACTCAGGCTGGAGTCCTTGAAGAGATAGGAAAGGGCTGTGACAACAGTAATAACGATAACCGATGCCCGTGAGTCCGACCAGGTGCCAGCCGCTGCCAGTCACCAAACAGGCACAGGTGCCTGAATTCCCACACACCCCGTGCTAGTGACAATGGCATTTATTTTCTGTGTTGTGACTACGGGTGATACTGTCACCAATGTCCTTTTGTAGGCAGTGTTCGCACACGTGTGTTCTCAGACACACGCTCGGTGGTGCAGGCCTGGTGTGATTGCTGGCCAAAGGGTGTGCACATTCTTTATTGCTGTTACTGTTCATCCTTACCCAAAGATAGTTTTTCCATTGATTTTTAGAGAGAGTGGAAGGAAGGGAGGGAGGGAGGGAAGGAAAGAGAGAGAGAGAGAGAAACATCAATGTGAGAGAGACACCTCAATTGGTTGCCAGCCTCCTGCACCACCCCGACTGGGGCCAGGCATTGAACTTGCAACCCAGGTACATGCCCTTGACCGGGAATCGAACCTGTGAGCCTTTGGTGTGCTGGCCAATGCTCTAACCACTTAACAACATCAGCCAGGGCGGGGTGTGCACATTCTAAACTTCAATCTACTGCCAAACCCTGGCCAACAACGGAACCCAGCTCTCTGCTCCTCCCCCGTGCCCACCCCGAACATCACCCATGTGCAGTGCTCTGGCAAGCCGAGAGATGGGTTCCCAGTGGTCTCGCTTGGAGCTGAGCCTAAACGTTCTCTCCATCAGCCATCAGCCGGGAGGCTGCACTGGCACAACATTATCCCCTTACCTTTCAAACCAGTGTCTTGGAAGTGGTGAAGCCATAGCAACAAGTCTGTCCTGGAAAGAAGTTTCTGTGACAGAGAAGTCCTGGCAAATCGGCCAGCGGCGAGGAGGAGGAGGAGGAGAGCTGGCTGAGACTCCAGTGGACAAACACCGAGGCCAGGACTGGGAGAGAGCCAATAAAGTCTGGCTTGATCTCGGCTCTCTGGGCTGCTGCTGGTGCACCCTTCCCACGGGAGCGCCCTCTGGTTTTAGGGAGCATGTCCTTGAGGGCCTCTTTAAGAACCAGGAAGACACACTGGGGATGCAATGA